GGCGGGGGGAGCGCCGCCTCGGGGTCACGTGACGGGCTGCGGGCTCGCGCTGCTCGTTTAGCGGCTGGGCGGTTGCCGCGCGCGGAGGCCTTCGGCCTGGCCGCGGAGGCTCCGCCGAGCGACGCCACAAGCTCCGGGGTGTCCCGGCGGCACCCTCACGCAGAGGATCCGGAAGCCCCGAGCCCCAGAGGCTCCAAAGCCAGAGGGCAAGTACGAAGAGTCAGAGCTGTGTCCGACCGCCTGCTCGCGGGTCGGCCAGTTCCGCGAGGCGCGCTGGTGCCTTGAGATTGGCCGCGCCGGCGTCGGTTCCCGTAACCAGCTCTCCTCCACCCTGCCGCGTTGGGTTTTACGAAACGTAAATCGGAAGCCCGTTTTCACGCTAAATTGCTCTTTCAATTAAAAGGTTCCAAAACACAAGGTCTTGCAGGTGGCCTTGTTCCCACCCTTTGGCATTACCCTGGCGGGGCCCCCACAGGACCCTCCAGCTTGTCCAAACGTTTTGTGTTCAGCTCCCCCTCCCTTGCGACTGGGACATCATGAACTGCCCAAATTAATCCCCTTTTTTTCGGATCCTGTTTTGGACAGATGAGCTCCCTGAACTCATTCACCGTGGAGGCCACGAGGAGGAGCGCAAAGCTGAGCCCCCAGAGCACAAGGCCCTGCGGCAGCACTGACTGGTCCAACTCTTGCAGAACAGCCACCCCCCTTACATCGAGCAAGGCTCTTGCTTGGCATCAACAGGCAGTTCCTCTCCTGGTTGAGCTGCAGCTCTCCAGCTACCCCGAAACCAAAACATTCCCAGTTTCCTCTCTGGACGGTATTTCCATGCACTCTACGCATACCCGCATTTGTTTTTAAGATGACATCTAGACAAAACACAGCATCAGTTCTCTAACTCTGGCCAAGACCCGTATACTAATTAGCTGCCTACCTCTTGTCCAGGAAACACTCAAAACCCACTGTAATTTAAAATGGGCACCAGATGCAAAAAATGGCTTTAGGTGTGAAGCAGCCTCTTTAATTAACCTCAACTACAGAGTGTCTGCAACGCGGTCTTTTATACTGTGGCACTGTAAATGGGGTAGCCTAGGGATTGGGTTTGGATAGAAAAATTAATTTTCATCAGAACAATTGGTCTAATATCAAAGATAAGTCTGCCAAGCCCCTTGTTACTTTTCGTTTCTAGGTGCAGGCACCTCCGTATGCGTACATGAGTTAACTCCGAATGGTGCGCAACATCCTTGAAAAGGTTCAGGTTAGAACTGAAGTTTTGGCTTTAAATGCTTACGACTTGAAGTAGCTCAACTGAAGTTACGAAGCCTTTATTCTTACAGCTGACAAGTCTGAGTTCTGCATGCACAAAAAGGTGCCTTCTTCCCAAATTCAACCATACTTACTTAGCGTGCCTAAGGGACAAAATGAATGTAGGATCTTACAGCTGCTCGACAATAGCCTTACTCTGACATGGGAAGCTGGTTATTAAAATTTTGGTTTATTGATGGGCTATTTCGGTAATTTAAGTCAGCACCTGAAACGTTCACCTGTTTCAAGGCAATCATGGCTGCAAATAGGAGGCTACCAATAGTTTACAGAAAATAAAGAGCAGAAAGGGGGACTCCTAGGTATCCAGGACACTATTTCCAAAAGACAACTGGGAGCCAAAGGTTCAAGTAAGACCTTTATTACAACACAGAGCTGATAGCATGTTTTCTTATTTAAAAGAAAGTATTTGGTCTCTTGGTGGTGAAACGCGGTTTGTGCTGGCGACGCAGAACTCTGTGTGGCAGAGGGAACTTGATTTTAGAATCCTGCAAGGAAAATGTTTCTATGTTAATTGAGATATTAGATGAACAACAGAAAACAGTTTGCAATAAATAGCTAAGCTATATTCAACTGCTAACTTATGTATAGAGAAGTAATGCATCCACAGATCAGATATACTTCATAGGAGCTAACAGATGCCTTAGTTTTGCAATTCTTTTTGAAAGAAATGCCTGTTAAAGGCAACTTTTCTGCAACATAATATGTATTTGTTTCAGTTTGACTTTCTTTCAAACAGTTCTAGCATTAAAAGTCTTGATCATAATATAACATAATTGTAAACCTACGCATGCAAGTTTGGTTTCCTCCCTATTTTTGCCTGCAAAGCAAACCTGTACCAGACAAGAGTGCTCCCCCCTCCCAGTCCAGTGTTAGACCCAGACCCACCAGCCACTGCAGTGTTACTTCACTTACATGGAACTGCTTGACTGCTGGTCTACGGCACTTGCTAGCAGCAATTTCCTCAACTTTCATGATCTGAATAGAGTGAGCACGGGCACGATGACGGGCTCCCATATCGCGGTCTGTAACAAGAGAGCTCATTAAAAATAAATCTTAAGACATTTTCAGTTCAAAAATCTTACTACCATCTTTTCAGGAAATGTTTATAGTACCGTCTACAACTTTTAACATCTCTGATCAACTCTACTTCATCACACTGGTTTTGGTATCTGAAGTGATGGCAGAAATACCACAGAACCAACATGCAGCAGCAAATTCTTCCTGGAACTCCTCCAAGAAAGTGCCATCTTATTCTTCTTGCCTGATTTCAAGAAGGTACACACATACAGAAGTAATCTACATGGGACTATTTCATTTTTTGCACAAGAAAACTGTGATTCAGAATCAACACTGAAATGAGGTTACTGGAAAGGCATGTGAACTTCAAAAAAATTTCCCTTCCAAAAGGAAGGTGCAAATAGGTAGGATCTGAGGTTATCTTCACTTTTCTTAAAACTGACAAGTGACAGAAATGTGAATTGATATTTAGCCCACATAATTAGGCTTTCAGAACAGGAGGAAGCCATCTGTACATGGGCTACCTGAAAATTCCTCCCTGCGGCAGTGAAAATCACTGCCTTCAAATTATGATGTCCACAGCTAGTTCCACAAGATATGCCTGTTGAAATACTGTTGTGCTTACAATGCTTCCCACCGTGAAGATCTAACATACCTATTAAAAACTTACCTGTCAAAAGTATTCTTGAACATAAAGGTATCAAAGTCATTGTATCATGACAAATTAAGTTCTCAGGTCTCTTAAGCAGTCCTTCAGTATGCTAATTAACAGGAATTATTGTAACTTAATGTAGAACCTTAAATTTCACTTTCAACAGCACTTCAGCTTTTGAAAGGCGACAAGACACATTTAATATTTGCACACATGACAAGAATATCATTATTAAGAACAATATTCTTTGGGTTTTTATGTGCATCCTATAGTGTTTATAACACTTCTGGATTCAAGTATCAACAGCATCAGCTATACAAATGGTCTATCCCTCAAGTACTTCACATAACAGGCTGGAATCAGGACAACCTTTAGTTCTCCCTGAGCAGAGGCAATGAGATCTTGGAGCAACACAGATCCTTTGTTTTTCCCCTGTAATTTTTTTTTTTTTTTAATTGCTCTCCAAAGGACAGATGCTAGGATGTTCCACATGATATCTGAAATACTCTGTCCACAAGACTCGGGAAGATACACTCAATTATTTTAAAACAATAAATATAGTGCAAGAAATCTATACAGCACCTAAAAGGTCATGAAACTCTCAGTCTGTATAGCAAAGCTCATTACTAGAATTGCAGAAAGTCACACCAAGATGAAGTGGGAGTATTTTCAGCCAAGGAAACTGTATAAGTGGTAACGAGTAAGATACCACATACATCTGAGGAAACTGTATAAAGAGTGGTAACGAGTAAGATACCACATACATCATACATAAACATCTATGGACTTCTCCAGGAACTCCCCACTTTATTTTTCCAGTGTTTCAGTTATCTTATCATGGATCAAGTCAGCACGCTTTGTGCCCAGTTTAAGATTGAATCTTGTGCTTACATACTGGTCCTACTATTTTAGTCCTCAAACAGTTGCACATACTTACAGCACTGAGTGACAGCACCAGCCGTGGTCAAATCCCTGTACTCCCTGTACATGTTGTGAGTTCCGCTACGAGAATCATAGCGCAACCAAATACCAAAATTTTTTACCCGCAGAGGGGACTTCTCATACACCTGGAATTACACAAGATCACAAAAGTAGTTAGAGACAGTACATCATCAGCATTTTACAAGTTTAAGAATAAGTATGTTAGCGCTCTAATGAAACCACTGTGGTAAGATTTATTGTGAAAAACAACTACTTGCTCTCCTTCCCCACACCAACATAGCTACATTCAAGACTTGGTAATTCAGAGTGGAGAGTTTTAGTAATTCAGCGTGGGAAGAAAAATACACACACGAGACTTCAGCTCTAAAGAATGTCCTTTAAGCATCAAGGTAGAAGAGTGTAACCATACAAATATCTACTTTCCAAGGATTATGAATGTCCAGATGACTCTTAAAAGCTATATTCCACAACGAAGCAAGCATAAGAAGCAGACAGCAGCACTGACTAGTGGCATAGTTCATAACTCTGAAGTGCGGGGAAGTAAGTTCCTTTCTAGTTTACTGGACATATACTGCTACTTGGAAAAAACGAATTTGTCAGCTTCACAGCAACTGAAGGATAAATGAATTTCAACCTCACCCCCAATTACAATGCTCCATATAAATTCCTTCCACATATACCAGCTGGAATTGCTTATACATCTCCCACTTCTTTAGGTTTTTAATCCCGCACCTGGCCACAGTAGACAATCTCTCCAGAAGACTTCTTCATCTTCTTCAGCTGAGAAACGAAGTACCAGAACCGGGACTTCGCGACAACATGGTTCGGAGCGAAGATCCGCATGCGGTAGAGAGGCGGGGTCGTGCATTTCGGCGTCGGCAGGCATCGCCCGACCACCTTGTACTCCCGCAGCTGCAGGAAGAC